GGGCTCCAGACTAGGGGGCGGGAGGCCGGCCTGGGCGGAGCAAAGGGCGCTCGGCCTCGTTGATTGGCCGCGGCTGCAGAGCTGTCTCTCTAGGATTGAACCTTTTCTTTAGGGAGGCGGGGCCTTGATACACTCTCACCAATAGGGTTCAAGGAATCCGCCTCCCATCAGGACACTTCCGGTTGTGCTCTGCGCTCCTTACCGCCAAAGCTCCGGCTCTGGCGCCTAGCCCCGGCGTATGCCGATCACTTCCGGGTGATGCTCCACGGCCACGAGCCGCGATTGGGCTACCGTAGACGGGGTACTTCCGGTGTCCAGGTGCTGGGTTCTTTGGTAGGAGGAGGAAGATGGAGCCCAGCACCGCGGCCCGGGCTTGGGCCCTCTTTTGGTTGCTGCTGCCCTTGCTTGGCGCGGTTTGCGCCAGCGGACCCCGCACCTTAGTGCTGCTGGACAACCTCAACGTGCGGGAGACTCATTCGCTTTTCTTCCGGAGCCTGAAGGGTGAGAGCGGGGTCTGAGGGAGGAGCGTGTGGGGGCCTGGGGTTGTTACGGCATCGAGGGCATTGAGCACTCTCCTCCCCACTCCCTTTCCTGGAGCAGGCCGCCCAGGTCTGGCCTGCCGCTTGGGGTGCGGGTCCGCGATGTCTGCAGCAGGGGTTTCCCTTCGCGTCCCGTCTTTCTCAACTACCTGTTTTTTCTTGTCCAGACCGGGGCTTTGAGCTCACATTCAAGACCGCTGATGACCCCAGCTTGTCTCTCATAAAGTATGGGGAATTCCTCTATGACAATCTCATCATTTTCTCCCCCTCGGTAGAAGGTAAGGGTTCCGCGTCGCCCCGAGCACTGGGATTCGAGACCTGGGACTGATGGTTTGCTTTCGTCTGGTTCTTGGGCATGTCCTGGGTGATAGGATGGACGCTGCTACCACGGAGATGAGAAAAATGCTCATTTCTGACTTGACCCTAGGAGGGGAGATCTTTCTAAAAGACACAGCTAAGGATTGTGGAGTCAAGTGTTGATGCAGACCATGGAACCCAGGACCCTGCTGCTCTACTGAGAAGGGAGTTTACTCTGTAAAGGGCCTGATAGAAAGATAGAAATCTCCTGGGTTGGGTTTGCCTGGGTGGAAAGAGGAAATGGCCTGTTATTAAAATGGATTGCTATAAAGAGGCATTGTGTATTGTGGCAGTTGATCTTAAGAATTCAGATAGATTCATAGCCTCGGGCTGAAAAAAGAGCTTTAGCAATTATCTACCAGTCTACCCCTCCTCCCCTTTGAGGCTGGATAGATAGATACGTCCAGCAGCCTCAGCCTCGCAGAGGGCTAGTCGTTTAACAGAATGAATATCTTGGCCAGATTATCCAATTTATACTTGAGTATTCCTGTTTTACGAGGCAATCCACTCCACCACTGAACAATTCTGTTAAGTTCTTATATTAAGCAAATATTGTCTCCTGCTTTATTTTGTTCTTAAGCTCCCCAGCACCTTAGAGAATAGATTTAATGCTTGTCTTGCTTGGAGGCATAGCCTGCACATAGTCATAGCTTATTCAGTTGTTTCTCCTCCAGGCTGAACATCCCCAGCTCCTTGGCTGTTTCTCTTTTGCCATACTTTTTTGGTGAGCATGTTAGTCATTCTCTTATTTGCTTCAGTTTATCTTTTTCTCAAAAGACTCAAGTTATCCCTGTCTAAGACAGGACTGCCTTCCTCCCTTCAGTTGATGAAGCTTAGGAAGTTCTTCGTTGGTGCCTTTTTTTTTTTTTTTTGAGACAGGGTCTTGCTCTGTCCCCTAGGCTGAGTGCAGTGGTGCGATCATGGCTTACTGCAGCCTCTACCTCCCAGGCTCAAGGGATCCTCCCTCAGACTCTCGAATAACTGGGACATGGCTTGTTTATTCTCTGTAGTTCACGTGAGGTTCGGTTCCACCAAATCCCTCAAATATTTTTCCTAGGCTTCTGTTACTTACTGTGTCACTCCCAACTCCCTTGCAACATGTGCTTTTGGAATTGGCTTTTTGGAGGCAAGATTAGTTAGGCGGATGTCACCCCCAGTTGGTATAAGTTGAAATATTCAGATGACTGGGCAGGTGAATGGAGGCTTCAGTGTAGTAATGGGTGGTTTGCCAAGTTTTTACTGTGTGTGAAACTTTGAAATAGGTACCATACAGTGGACTGGGGGAGATCTTAAGGATAGGGAGTCTGCCCTAGAGGAGTTCTTTCAGTCTGTTTTTGAGGAAATAAAAGTAAAGACCTGAAATGAGTTACCAAACCCTGTGTCAGGATGTAAGATGAAGTGGAAGCACTGTCAGCTTGTATAGGTTGGAAGGAAAGCAGCAGTGAATGAGACTGGTCGGGAGTGGGCTGAGAGAGGATACTGCTGGTGGGAGAAACAGCAGAGAGTGAAAAACAGTGTTTCCCCAACTTTAGTTATTTGCACACATCCTTCATGGTTTTTACCATATTACATATCTCCTGTGCTAATAACTACCTAGTATTTTTCTTCAAATTGACCTGCTAAAAAGAAAAAAAAAAGGCTAGGTACGATAGATTATCTCTGTGATCCCATCACTTTGGGAGGCCGAGGCAGAAGGATCGCTTGAGTCCCGGAGTTTGAGACCAGCCTGGGCAACATAGTGAGACCTCATCTCTACAAAAAATGAACAAAATTAGCTGGGCGTGGGGCACATGCCTGTAGTCCCAACTACTGGGGAGGCTGAGGTGGGAGGATTGCTGACCCTCGGTGGTCAAGGCTGCAGTGAGCTGAGATGATGCCAACTGCACTCCAGCATAAGTGACAGAGCAAGACCCTGTCTCAAAAAAGAAAAAAAAAAAAAAAAACTAAAATAACATTTTAAAAGGGAACCAATAGTGAGCCCAGAATCACCACTGAAAATGGAAATCCAGTGTCGTCACTTGATGTACATAGAAGGTAACTATAAATAGAATAAAAACAACATCCGTAAGTTCTAGCCAGATACTGCTGCCTGCTGAAGGCTTTGAACCTGAGGTTCCCTCTTGAAAAGAGATTAGCAAGCATTAGAAGTCCTAACAACTAGTATCAAACTAAGACATTCTCTTTGATGGAGAAAGCTTGAAAAGTAAGGAAGGGGAGTAATTTTCTGTCCCTGAGATTCAAGGTTATTTAAAGCCCGGTTCCCGCATTCCTGCTGCCGCCTTTTCTGCCTCTGGTGGAATGGGTCCCACACTTTGGAAGGTGCTGCTGCAGGAAATCCTCAGGCGTTCCTTGGGAGGAGGCTGCAGGGTAGGGTTCAGGGTGTAGGGGTTTGGTGTCTGCTCCCAGGGCCCTGCCCTGGTCCCATGACCACTGTCACTGTCATTCTCTCAGATGTGTGAGTGCTGGCCTGGCTTCCCTCTCCATGTTCCAGTGGCTTCTTTGCCCTCTCTGGCATCGGAAGGCTCCCAGGTCACTGGCAGTCATGGCTACAAGGGAAGAAATTTTCAGCGCATCCTCTATACCCAGGAAAAACTGGATCCCTGTTATAGATGGGGAAATGGGTTCAAAAGGGTGAAGGGATTTGCCTAGTTTTAACCCCAGGTGGTCTCAATTTCAAAGCCCGTGTTCTGTCTACCTTATAAGAGTTCCTCAACAGGTGCACTCTTGACATTACAGACTGGATGATTTTTTACAGTGAGGCTGTCCTGTGTACTGTAGGACAGCCTCACTGTAACACTGTAGGGTGTTTAACAGCACCCTGGGCCTCTGCCCATTAATGCCAGTAGCCACTTCCCTGTTATGTGACAGCGAAGAAATGTCTCCAGACATTGCTCTGAGGGGCACAATCGCCCAAGATTGCAAACCACTGCACTGCCAATAGGCTGCTTTTGGGATGTCTAAGACTGCCTGGCCTCTCTGAAGGAGAGTGGATAGATGGCTTTTTGATCTGAAGGAGAGTGGATAGATGGCTTTTTGAATGTAGCATGAGAGGCAGAGGTAGAGAGTACAGGAGCTTCTGTGTATGCCTGAAGGTCAGGTAAGGCACTTTTATTTTCTGCTGAAGATTACCCCTCAAGAAACAGGGCTCTTCTATTCAGATCTTTACAAAGTTATTTCCACCTGCTACTAGGGGTCTAATGGATACACTTCTGTGTCCAGTCTCAGAAATTGGCACGTCCGTCCTTCCGGTTGCTCAGCCAGACTCCTTGGAGCTTTTCTGAGGCCCCTGTCGAAGCATCAGCAGGCCCTGCTGCCCTCAGAAGGCGTGGAAGCCTGCCGCGCCTCCCTCTGTTGCTGCTGCACGGTCAGCTCAGCACTCTTCACTGCCTAGCTTTTCACAGTGGCCTTCTAACCCATCACCACGGCCACGCTCACCCTCGTACCCTAGTCTCTACCCCACCGCCAGGATCATCCTTCAAAAATAGGAGGGAGATCCTGCCAGGCTCCTGCTCAGAATCCTCCAGCAGCTCCCTATGACAGGGCCCTTGTGTGGGGTGCAGAGCCCTGCGCAGCCCGGGCCCTCACTTCACCCGGCCTTACCTCCTGCTGCTCACTCCTTTCTTTCCAGCTAAGCCACACTGGGCCCCTTGCTGGTGACCATGCCCACCCGCCTTGGGGACTTTACACCTGGTGTTCACTATGCTGGGAATCCTCTGACCCCACAGACTGCCTGGCTCACGCTTACATCTTCTCAGATGCCACTTGCAGGTCTTCCCTAAACAGCCTTGGCACAAGAGCTCCCCTCCCACATTGTCCACTTTGTTTTTCTTCTCGGCTCACAGAACTACTCATTTAATGAATAAATGGATTACTGAGCACTTCCTTCATTACCTTAGGTGGAACATCAGAGTACACTTTGGGGAGACTCTGGAGCCTCAAATAGCCCCACCCAGTGCTAGTTTTAGATGCTTATAGCAGTAGTCACATAACCCAATTAATTGACCAAAAAAGGATAGGATCTCACAGTTACAAATGTTGGAAATTAATGAGCCCTTTTGGTGATCACTTTTTAAAAAGCAGTGTACTGGGTGGCTCTGTTGTGGATGTCATGGATAGAATCTGTAGGATTAATAAGAAAAAAATGGATTAATGCCAGACCAGGGAGTACTGGTGTCAAGTGACGGCATCACCAGCGATGCAGAAGTGCTCTTCCTCAAACCATTTAGACGGAGTGGAATTGACAGGCTCTGGAAACTGACTCCAGTGATCAGCGTCACTAGTGTGAAAGGTGCAGGTGATGAGATGAAATATGGGCAGTACAGCATTTCCAAATGCATATTTCCTATGTGACTTGAAATACGTACAGCTTACTTGACCGGTGCAATTAGTGGATGTTTGACTGTTTCCTCCAAACCTCCAGAAGTTTCTAAGTCCGAGCCATAATTTTGAGTCTTCACGCTGGAAGGATGGGGCCTTTCCGTTCTGGGATGTGGTGCTCGTAACCTCTCCCTCATTGTGGCCCCCAGAGGGTGCTGCTCTGTGAGTGATCGTGGCTGCTCTGCCCTTCATGTCCCCTCCCTGCCAGTGTCAAGAGGAGCAGGGAGAGGAGATCTCTGGGTCACTGTGTCTGGTGCCTGCTTTCAGATTTTGGAGGCAACATCAATGTGGAGACCATCAGTGCCTTTATTGACGGTGGAGGCAGTGTGCTGGTAGCTGCCAGCTCAGACATTGGTGAGTCCGACCTGGGAGGTTCTGGTGCTTTCCACTTCTCCAGGGAGTTGGAGAGCATTACAAACAGAAGCTGCCAAATTAGCATTCACTGGGTGGGCCTTAGCTGGGGAGTCAGTGAGGGAACTGTTTTATCAGTTCAGATTGTGACTCCTCGGGCAGAATACCACGCTGCTGTCCAGTGGTCCATTTGGGGCTGACAGCCGGATGAAGCTGCAGGGCACTGGGGCTGACTGGCAGAGAGGGAGTCACAATGAAGCCAGGACACTTGGCCCAAGGTCCCCCTGTAAGGGCTCAGCCAGGCGTCTCTTGGGTCTCTGCAGGTGACCCTCTTCGAGAGCTGGGCAGTGAGTGTGGGATCGAGTTTGATGAGGAGAAAACGGCTGTCATTGACCATCACAACTATGACATCTCAGACCTTGGCCAGGTAATCAGGCCTGTCACCCTCCAGGTTTCAGGGACATAAGGCAAAGCTCTGCCTAGCCAAAAACCAAGAGGGCGTGAGGAGGTTCTCCCTGGCTTCAGGAACCTTTTCCTGACCACCCACCTTTCCATCTGCTCTTTGCAGCATACGCTAATCGTGGCTGACACTGAGAACCTGCTGAAGGCCCCAACCATCGTTGGGAAATCATCTCTAAATCCCATCCTCTTTCGAGGTGTTGGGTGAGTGCGCAGGAAGAGACCAGCAGAAACCTAGGGGAATAAGGGGTCACTTAATTTTTTTGGGAAATCAAGCCAAAATTATGATTCTTTGGGGCTATATAGATGGGATTAATGTATTATATTAAGCCAAGGCCAAGTAGAGTGGCTCACACCTGTAATCCCAGCACTTTGGGAAGGCCTAGGCAGGAGGATCACTTGAGGCCAGGAGTTTGAGACCAGCCTGGGCAACATAGTGAGAGCTCCTCTCTTAACACACACAAAAAAACAGTTGGCTGGGCGCAGTGGCTCATGCCTGTAATCCCAGCACTTTGGGAGGCTGAGGCTCAGATCCCCTGAGTTCAGGAGTTCAAGACTAGCCTGGCTAACATGGTAAAACCCTGTCTGTACTAAAAATACAAAAATGAGCTGGGCATGGTGGTGTGCGCCTGTAATCCCAGCTACTTGGGAGGCTGATGCAAGGGAATGTCCTGGACCCGGGAGGCGGAGGTTGCAGTGAGCCAAGATCGTGCCACTGCACTCCAGCCTGAGTGACAGAGTGAGATCTGTCTTCAAAACAAAACAAAAAGTCAAACTCCATTGTTATAGCAAGACAAGAGCTAAGTGGTTGGCAATTAAGACAAAAGGATTCATTCCTGGGAAGAACTGGCTCTCGGGGATCCCGTGTCCTTGGACTCAGTTCCTGGGGCCAGTGCTGGGCTGCTCTCGTCCTGCTACAGGATGGTGGCTGATCCTGATAACCCTTTGGTGTTGGACATCCTGACGGGCTCTTCCACATCTTACTCCTTCTTCCCAGATAAGCCTATCACTCAGGTAAGGGCTTCACAACCTTGAGCCTTCGAAATAAGAATGAAGCAGAACAGCACATTTGGCTGAGGTGGAGGAAGTGACAGGTTGGTGGGGTGGGGCATGAACAGAAGCGGTGTGGCCTCAGCCTTCCCCTTCAGGTAGGGCCAGGGTCGTTTTGGTCTGGCCTGCTGTCCTCTTGCTCGGGAGGCGCGGCAGCTTTTCCCTTACTTGGAACTGCTTGGGTCACAGCCTTGTTTTGTTCCCAGTATCCACATGCGGTGGGGAAGAACACCCTCCTCATTGCTGGGCTCCAGGCCAGGAACAATGCCCGTGTCATCTTCAGCGGCTCCCTCGACTTCTTCAGCGACTCCTTCTTCAACTCAGCAGTGCAGAAGGCAGCACCTGGCTCCCAGAGGTAGCTGCCAGGAGGCTTAGGGGCCGGGGATCCAGGTGGTGCAGTCTGCGTATGTGGGGAGGACTCAGAAGGGGAAGGAGGAGGCTTTTAGCTCAAAGTGTCAGAGGCTGAGTGTTTCAGATGCTGTCAGATTATTTCAGGGCTTTATTGCTATATTGCTGGTATTGGCACTTCCAATTCTTTAAGGTAGTCGTGACATCTAGAGATCCCTAACCTCCCCGTTCCTTTCAGAAAATTGTGTATTTGTTGTGCAAATGACACCCAGAGCAATAACACCCAACCACCCGTATCTTTTCATTTTTTCCTGTGTTCCCTTTAACCATGGGTCCCTAGGTGCCCAAGGCCTACAGGCAGAACTTTGCTAGGGCATTGTCATGGTGGACATGAGTGGTCCTGCCCATCAGGCACCACTGGAAAAAAGGTGGCTCTGGTGCCCCAGCTTCTCCTGTTTCCCTCCTGCAGGTATTCCCAGACAGGCAACTATGAGCTAGCTGTGGCCCTCTCCCGCTGGGTGTTCAAGGAGGAGGGTGTTCTCCGTGTGGGGCCTGTGTCCCATCACCGGGTGGGCGAGACAGCCCCACCCAATGCCTACACTGTCACTGACCTAGTGGTAAGAGATGCTTGGGGTGGGAGGGCCCCAAGGGTTTGCCAAGCTGACTGGGCTCAGCTCAGAAGCACTTATTGAACACTTCTGTGCTGGCCTAAAGGGCATACATAAAGATGAAGAAGTTAATCCTTACACCCGAGCATGCCAGGTTCAATGCAGAGCTTGGCATGAAAACTGATGTCCTAATAGGAGCACTTCTTTTGAAGAGGTATGTGTATTTGCTAAGAGTGGCAGCAGTGGGAGGGGCTTCACTGATTAACTCTGCCCAGAAAGTTGGACTTAATAAGAGAAACGACATTTCGGTTAGGTCATTAGGATGAATTTGTTAGGTGAGAGAAAGCGAATATGGAAGCATGAATGCTTGAAAGTGCCTGGCACATTCCGGGTCAGCAGGTGGTCTGAGTCCAGACTTTGATGGGCCATGAACACCGTGTGAAGGCATTCGAGCCTTCAGAGAAGAGGCAGAGATGCTGTGTTGGGGGATTAACCTTGCTGAGGAGAGAGATTGGTTACTGATCAGGGCCAGGTGGCGGGGCATCTGCAGGTCTTCTGAACTCCTGGGCGTTCCTGCCACGTTCGTCGGGTGGGAATGAAGTGCAGCTCTGCCTGCGGGTGGTGGCACGCCTCCAGTCACGGCCAGCCGTGGCTAACCTGGCCTTTTATCTCAGGAGTACAGCATCGTGATCCAGCAGCTCTCAAATGGGAAATGGGTCCCCTTTGATGGCGATGACATTCAGCTGGAGTTTGTCCGCATCGATCCTTTTGTGAGGACCTTCCTGAAGAAGAAAGGTGAGTGTAGTTCCTGCACAAGGATACTGCCAGAAACGGCCCAGGCCTCACTTGCTCCCGAGGCCCAACCAGGAAACGCTCTGGGAAACCCCTCCCGGTTATTCATGTTGGTTCTTCCGCAGGTGGCAAATACAGCGTTCAGTTCAAGTTGCCCGATGTGTATGGTGTATTCCAGTTTAAAGTGGATTACAACCGGCTAGGCTACACACACCTGTACTCTTCCACTCAGGTAAGCATAGGTGACAGCCCGTTTTCAGCTAGCATGTGTCCTGCCCGGGCTCTGCAGTGGCCAGGTGTTGCTACGTCTGTCCTGCAGGTATCCGTGCGGCCACTCCAGCACACGCAGTATGAGCGCTTCATCCCCTCGGCCTACCCCTACTACACCAGCGCCTTCTCCATGATGCTGGGGCTCTTCATCTTCAGCATCGTCTTCTTGCACATGAAGGAGAAGGAGAAGTCTGACTGAGGGGCCAGAGCCCCGGGACTCTGCACAGCGTGGAGACGGGGCGGGGGTTATTAGGATTCGTGGTTTTATTTTGCTTTGTTTAAAGCCATGGGAGAACGGCACAACTTTACCTCTGCGGGAGATGTAACACTGAGAGCCAACGGGTGGGAGTCGGGATAATTTTTATGTAAGTTTTTCCACTTCGAATTGCTAATTGGCATTTTTCATATGTGCAGTCACTCTCATTTCTAAAATAAAGAGCGACGTCGCCCTCAAATTTCACCTTGCCTCCGTCCTGCTTTGCTAACGGCTGTGGGTGGGGACTGCTGTTTGGTGATGACTGGATACAAAGTCCTAAGTGGCTTCCTGAAATTTTGCCTAGGACTGGACTGTCTTTAACTGTGAAATGATGAGTCTTCCTAACATCTCCTCAAAGGATACAAGAAAGTTGCTGTAGACTGAGGGGTGGGAATCACTGAAATGGAAAATCTAGAATGACAGTGCTGGGGAAGAGAAAACTAGAACAGCTTAGTTGAAGAGAACCTTAACTGCATGTTGACGTTGCTTTATTTAGGCAATAGCTGTGTTCCTAAAAATCATGTATAAAGTTAGACGTGAGATCTCTTCCCCAATGTTGATACCTGCCCACAAAATGTTCTCACCTTCAGAGTGTAAGAATCATTCTTAAAGCCAAATATTCAGTTCAAGGCACATACGTCATCTGCAGTTGTAAATTTGCATTTAATATTTCACAGTTCCTGTAAGAGAGGCTAGTCAGGAGGGAAGCCCTCAAGTGTAAATCCCCACACTTACTGCTCATCAGTCACTTTCGCTACGTGAGATTAATTCAGTAGCTGGTCCAGAACACACAGCTTGGGAATACAGAGGCCCAGGCCTCACGCAGACGTTTCCCACTCCCGTAACTGAATGTGCTGTCTCGTGCTGACCCATGCTGATAGCTGCCTTCATCCAGGTGGCAAATGCAGACATGCTACGCTGCCTCCTTCAAACGAGTTCCTCATGTTAAGGGCAAAGGTCACAGCCAAACTCTGCCACTGACAGCCAGTGCCTTGGCCTGGAGCCTCTATGTGGATGCAGGCCTCCCCCTCCTCAGTTCAGCTTCATCTACTAGACCAGCTTGGCCATTCACTTTTCAGATGTCTGTGAGCACAGGACTGCAGACTGAACTCTGACTCAAGTTCTTCCATTTGCCAAGCCTGAAGCCTTTTCTGGCTAACCAGCCCTCTCTGCACCATCTTGTCTCCTGACTCCCACCCTCACCATTCACAGACCATCACGACACAGCGGATGCCAAGTTCTTTTAGTAATTCACCAGCTCCATGCAGGGACATCACAGGGCTGCCCTCCATGAGCAGAGAAGGAGGGCTGCCTGGCAGAGCGTTTCACACTCCAGGTTAGCCAGAAAGAGCATCTTCATTTTTGTTTCCACACAACACTTCTCTGTGAGCCTGTTGGCCAACAAAGTGGCAGCCGATTGTTGGAGGAGCCAGCCAACCATCTTATCTAACTTCAGATTCTTCAGGGCTAGAATCTGTTCACCCCAGAGGCTTAGATGAAGCACATTTGCAGCTACTCGGGCAGATGGTCTCTGCAACAGGAAGGGAAGCTAAAGTTAGAACATCTGTTAATGCTGTCTCAACCCAAAGCCTGCTTTGTTAGTGAGGGTCTTCCTTTCTCTGGTCCCAACCCAGTTCTTCCTCTACCCCATCTCCTACTGATGCCCTTCACTCAGGTGACAAATACTGCCTGCCCCTCCCCGTGCTCCAAGCTTTTCCACGTGTACACCTCTGCATGGGGTAGCATGCATTGTTTAAACAGCCTTTCCCCCCGGTGGAAAGCCCAGTGCCTCTTGTGCACAGCTATCTGGTCCCTTGTACCAGGTAAGTTGCCTCCTATCATTTCATAACTGGTTGCAGCTGTTATTCTAGCCATCACTGTGCACCAAGATAGCAGGCTACGTACAGAGAGCGGTTAACGGAGTGGCAGAACAGTGCTGGGACGCAGTTATGGCTCAGCTCTTTGCACTAAGCCTGCCCCTGAGCCAGCTGCCACTCCAATTATGGCTTCAGACGGGTCTGCCTATGCATTCCTTTATATTAATTTCACAACGTCCAGATCTGCTCTCAGGAGATGTTTTCCATCTCTCTCTCTCTGATCAGTTCTCAGCTGTTTCCATGAGCTACATCTCCATTAAACGTTTCTCAAAAATACATCCTTTTCTCTCTGAATAGTTTTTTGTTTGTTTGTTTGTTTGTTTTTTTTTTGAGACAGAGTCTTGCACTGTCACCTAGGCCGGAGTGCAGTGGTGTGATCTTGGCTCACTGCAACCTCTGTCTCCCAGGTTCAAGTGATTCTCCTGCTTCAGCCTCCCAAGTAGCTGGGATTACAGGCATGCGCCACCACACC